TTAAAATTTTGTTCGAAATGGAGATGACACAACTTTACTTGTTCTCAAATAAAAATATATATGAGTATTTTCTACAGCATTTCATTGAACCCCAGGATTTTACAAGGCTGTATAAATGATTTGGGGCAATCACTTGAAGAACTGATTTCACAGTTAGAGGAGCAAAGATGCATGTTTCATCCTACCGTGCATACTGCTTGAGTAAGGTGTTTGCATCCCTGGCGATAAATATTATGAACTGCATCAGGCCTTCCAAATAAAAATGAAATGATTAAGACAAAAGGAAAAGAGATAAGTGAAAAAATGTAATACTTGAAAATTTATACAGTAAAATTTGATAGGTGTAAGAATGGAATACTTACTGTTTTCTATACCATGAAAGGACTCCATGCTCTAACACTACCCAGAATAATCTCCAACCAAAAAATCTTGAACTCTAAGGGAAAAATAACAGATTTCCCAAACTGACACATCTAGATTCAAATACTTGACAGATAAAAAGTAATTAAGTGATGACAGTTATATGTGAGTCTTTAGACAGTAGTACTGAACATATTTAAAAAAACAATCAAACATGAACTTAGGTACTCAGTGCAGTAATGAAAACCTAACCACTACAGGGTGACAGGAACAGCAGAAATGCCACACTGATAAGGTCAGTGATGACTACAAGCTTATGGTTCTGACAAAACTGTTCAGGGATTATTTACAGAAAATATACCAGTTGTGGGCTTCAAAGACAATTTCCTCAAAGTCATGAATGAATGTCTAAAAAAGAAAATTATCCTAAATTTATTTTGTATAATAGAAGCATACAAATACATAAATAGATAGAGGGACTGCTCGCAAATGCAAAAGAAATTATATGCTCTTACATGGTTAATTCTAGAGAACAGGATTCTCCACAGTGTAGAACATTTTAGGACCAGAAGAATTTTATGTATGTACCATGTGATAATTCAAATATTAATTTTCTTCTAAGTCTTCCATGGTTTGATGTTCATAACAACAATAATACTGTAATTCTTTGATCTAGTAAGAAAAAACTGTATTTTCCCACACTCCTTTCCATAAAAACTTAAGTCACCTAAAAGTGACTCATCAACACCAAAAAAACACCTGAGAGTGACCATCAACACACAGAAAAGTAACTGCTACAACCAGTGGAAGCGTCTTGAAATCTGGTAGTATAAAAGGGTTTACGTTATAAGATCCAAAAGTGATTAAATCACATATACTTCCAAAACGATTTTTTGAAAATATTAAACAGAAATAGAGTACCTAAGAGTTATTTTTTACAGTTATATAATTTAAAAACCACCCCAACCTACCTTCCAGAGAGGGCCTTCATATCGTCTCAATGCTTTGTAGATGACCTGGTAAAAACGGTTTTCATGAAAAATGCATCTACATATTTGAAACATTCAAAATTTTTTTTGAAAAATTATTAGATAAATTTAATCCATTACTCTGTACCTTATTACCAACAAGAATGTGTTTCATTTCAGCACCCTGGGCAAGGTCAAGAGGTTTCTGATCTGTGCAAAATACAAAAAGAAGCCATTAACAGCTTAAATGTGCTATAAAAATCAATGCTGCAATGGCAGCATATAATATTCCTTCCTTTTTCTATCACCTACATCTTTTTCTTTTCCTCTGAAATTACCTACCAGAGAGAGGTGCCATCTCAATTCTCTACAGTCTCCCTTTTGGTCAGTAACTATTAAGCCAGCAAAGCAGATTAACTTCACAACACTCCTACAGGGTCTGTGACCATTCAAGCTTTCTTAAAATGCCCTATGAGTTTTCTATGATTGCTGTAACAAATTATCACAAACTCACAAATTCGTGGCTTAAACAATACAAATTTATTATCTTACAGTTTCAGAGGTCAGAAGTCTGAAATCAGTTTCACTGGACTGAAAATCAACGTGTGGACAGACTGGAGTGCAGTGGTGCAGTCTCGGCTCACCATAGCCTCTGCCTCCCGGTTCAAGTGATTCTTCCGCCTCAGCCTCCCAAATAGCTGGGACCACAGGTGTGCGCCACCACGCCCGGCTAATTTTTACATTTTTTAGTAGAGACGGGGTTTCACCATGTTGGTCAGGATGGTCTCGATCTCTTGACCTTGTGATCTGTCCACCTCGGCCTCCCAAGTGTTGGGATTACAGGCATGAGCTACCACGCCCTGCCACCTTTTCCTCTTCTAGTGGCCACCTACATGACTTGACTTAGGGTCTTTTCCTCCATCTCCAAAGCACATCATTCCAACCTCTGCTTCCAGCATTCTGTTTTCTCTCTATATATAGGCGTCCCTCCTATAAAGAGCCTTGCAATTACATAGGTCTACCTGAACAATTCAGGATTTCCCCTTTTTTCAAGATACCTAAGTAATCACAAATTTGGGGTCCAATATTCAGCCGACCACAGGCCCTCTTCAGCCACCTCACTGCAGAACGGGTAGTAGAGATGGCTCACAAGCCGAGGGTGTGATGGTCCATAATTGAGGACAAAAGAAAAAGGTGACCATGAAGAATGAAGCCAGCAAGTTATCAGTGTAATTTTTCCAACCTTACACATGCACATTCCATGTTTTGCCAAACAGCAACAAAAACAGAGTTTGTCTTATTGAAGTTATTTAATGAGTTCTGAAGTGAGCAGCAGGACATTAAGTGAAGGACAAAAGGTTAAAATGAAAAAAAAAGGAACAACCAAAAAACCCCCACAAATAAATCAAACCATCTCCTAGCCTCAAATAGGTTATTAGTAGAGAAATGAAAGCTATCTATAAAAGTTAGAACAGTCTTTTCAAAACAACATATTGATTAGAACTCTGCAACTGTTTATGCAGTAAGGTGATACATTCTATCAAATAACCTTTTAGGCCAGGAGCAGTGGCTCACACCTATAATCCCAGCACTTTGGGAGGCTAAGGTGAAAGGATCACTTGAGGCCAGCAGCCTTAAGACCAGCCTGGGTAACATAATGAGACCTCATCTCCACAAAAAAAATTTTTTAATTAGCCAGGCATGGTGGCATGTGGCTACAGTCCCAGCTACCACTGCACTCCAGACTGGGTGACAAAAGTGAGACTGTGTCTCTAAAAACAAAAAGGGGAGCTGTTAAAATAATATTTTTATAAATACCAAACACCTGGTATGTGTTGCCAATTTTCTGTATGAATATCTCCTAATGAGGGTCTGTTATGTACCAATCACTATTTTAGGTATTGAGAATTCACCAGTGAACACAACAGAAAAAATACTGGGTGGATGGGAAAGCACAGAAGGAGGGACAGACAGATGATAAATTAATTTTAAAAGATCAAGCAGACAATGAATCATGGTATGCCAAGATTTTTTTAATAAATGATTTGACAGAGTGACTGGGATACCACTTTAGATTAGAGCATAAGAGGTTGATCAGGGAAGGCCTCTTTGAGGAAGGAATGTTTAGGATGAAAGGATGGATCCAGCCTTGTAAAAATACAGGGAAGGACATTCTAGCAGGGAGAACAGCTGATGCAAAGGCTCTGAGGTACAAACAATTCAGCAGGCAAGAGATAAAGTCAGAGAGGCACACAGAAAATACATCACACAAGGGGCTGTAGGCCAGACTTTCGTGAGCCATCAGGAGTTTTGAGTTTTATTCTAAATAGGATGAAAAGCCACTGAAGGGTTTTAAGTAAGAGTAACATGATCTGACTCATGTTTAAAATTCTGCCAAAGCCAAGCATGGTGGCTCACACATGTAATCCCAGCACTTTGGGAGGCTGAGCCGGGTGGATCCCCTGATGTTGGCAGTTCAAGACCAACCTGACCAACACAGAGAAACCCCATCTCTACTAAAAACACAGTATTAGCTGGGCGTGGTGGCGCATGCCTGTAATCCCAGCTACTTGAGAGGCTGAGGCAGGAGAATCGCTTGAACCTGGGAGGCGGAGGTTGTGGTGAGCTGGGATAATGGCATTGCACTCAGCCTTAGTAACAAGAGTGAAACTTCATCTCAAAAAAAAAAAAACTTCTGTCAAGGTGTTAAAACAATTATAATATAAATATGAACTTTGGCAGTTTCATGATTTTGATAATTACTAGAATATTATTAATAGGATAATACTATTGTGCTTGTTTTTTAATAGTCTTATTGAGATACAAATTAACATACAATTCACTCACTTAATCTGCACAAATTCAGTGGTTTTTATTGGTGCACAGAGTTGTGCAACTATCACATGCTTATAGTTTTTCTTAAAAGGTGCCCTTATTTTTTATTAATATACTGAACTACAGATGTTCCCCAACATACAACAGTTTGACTTAATGTTTTTCGACTTTACAATGGGTTTATCAGGGTATTAAGTGCATTTTCTTTCTTTCTTTCTTCTTTTTAGACAAGCACTCACTCTGTCACCAAGGCTGGAGTACACTGGCATGATCACAGCTCACCACAGCCTCGACCTCCTGGGCTCAAGCAATCCTCTTACTTCAGCCTCCCTGGTCGCTGGAACTACAGGCATGTGTCATCACAGCTGGCTAATTTTTGTATTTTTTGTAGGAATGGGGTTTCACCAGGTTGGTCTCAAATTCCTAGGCTCAAGCGATCCACCAGCCTCAGCCTCCTAGAGTGCTGGGATTACAGGTGTGAGCTACCGCATCTGGCCTTAAGTGTATTTTCAACATACAATGGGTCTATGGGGACATGGCCCCAGAGTAAGTTGAGGAGCGCTGGGGATGTACAGATAAAATGGCATGATGGGCCTTCTCTTTCCAGTTCTTCCCAGAATTGGGAAAAGCTGGGTTGAGAGAGTAAAAAAAGAAAAACAACTTTAAAAAAAAAGAAAGAAATAGCAAAATATCTGGAACTGCTTCAAAATAATCCAGGGAGTGGGAAGAGATAAAGAGTGGCCATTACTGCTAAGTTCTGGAGGAGGGGGAATGAGTACATCAATTAATTTTGCTATTTTATTTTTTAAGCTTTGATAATTTCCACGATTTTTTTCTTAAAGATCACTCCGGCTGCTGTGTGATGGCTTATAAATGCGGCCAGGAGAAATGCAGCGAGGCTAATTGCAAAGAGATGGCAAGAGTGCAGGTAAAAGACACTGGTGGTTTGCAGAAATTCTATAAACTCTTTGCTGTTTTTGATACCTGCTTTTCGTTTTGTTTTGTTTCGTAAAAATGATAAACTTCAGAAAATAAAATGTCAGTGTTGAATAATTAAAAAAAAAAGATACTGGTGGTTTGGACTAGAAAGTCAGTAGCAAAATGGAGATCATTTTTTAATATAGAGAGAAGCATGTGGCTTTAAGCTTTATTTTAGAGGAAGAGTTTTTTTATTTTGTTTTTTGAGATGGAGTCTCCTCTGTCACCCAGGCTGGAGTGTAGTGGTGCCATCTTGGCTCAACGCAATCTCTGCCTCCCAGGTTCAAGCAATTCTCCTGCCTCAGCCTCTCAAGTAGCTCGGACTACAGGCACACGCCACCACCCAGCTAATTTTTTGTAGAGATGGGGTTTCACCGTGTTAGCCAGGATGGTCTCAATATCCTGACCTCATGATCTGCCTACCTCGGCCTCCCAAAGTGCTGGGATTATAGGCATGAGGCACCGTACCTGGCCTTGGAGGAAAAGTTGTAGAGCTGTTGATGGGGAACCTGAGGCTGGTGATACATTACTTCTTTAAAAGCTTTTTAAAACATTAAGTGAAAAATTAATAATCAGTTTAATTTTTCTGCCTAGCACATAGGAAAATGTCTTATAAAGGTCTGCCAATTCTGTTATTTTCATTCTACCTACAGGGCACTTTTGAGAAATTATTTCTTTATACAGAGAGAAAGACAACACTATGATTTCTTTCATAGAATTCTGCCCTAATACCAAAAATAAATTCTGAGTTCCTGCCAACTAGATGAAATTCCAGGACAGAGACCTCATTTCTGGACTCAATGTTAAAATGCCTGGCACACAGTAAGAATTCAATAAAATGCTTTTGAATTGAATGAAATAGCCTCCTAGATGGAATCTAGATGGGTTCTATTACCAGTTAAAAAATGCACTACCTCTTTTACCAGCCACAACAAAATAAAGTGAAAAACAGGAATGATGTAATATTTAAAAGTTTGCCTGACACAGATTTGTCCCTTAATGGGAAAACTCAATCAAGATGCCAATTCTGGCCGGCTGTGGTGGCTCATGCCTATAATCTCAGTATGTTCAAAGGTCGAGGCAGGCAGATCACCTGAGGTCAGGAGTTCGAGACCACCCTGACCAACATGGAGAAACTCCATCTCTTCTAAAATACAAAATTAGCCAGGTGTGTTGGCACACACCTGTAATCCCAGCTACTCAGGAGGCTGAGGCAGGAGAATCACTTGAACCTGAGAGGCAGAGGTTGCAGTGAGCCGAGATCGCCCCATTGCACTCTAGCCTGGGCAGGAAAAGCAAAACTCCATCTCAATCAATCAATCAATTAAATGAATAAATATAAGATGCTAATCCTCCTTAAATTAATTTACAAAGAAGGTAATTTCAATTAAATCCCAATGAGGAATCTAAAAATATTTTTTTAAATGCCATCTGGAAGAATAAACAGATAAGGATGTCAAAGGAAGTCCTTAAAAAAGAATAGTGAGGGGTAATCTCAGATATTAAAACATTATCATCACTAAAAGTGCAATACTGTCTAAAAAATGGGCTTTTTAAAAATGCAATACTGTCAAAAGAAGAGACAGATGAGTGAATGAAAAACACTAAAAATTACAAAAAGAGGCTGAGCATAGTGGCTCATATATGAATTTATTTTTTGTCTATGTCCTCCCACCAGAATATAAACTCAAGAGAGCATGGGGACTGTCAGGCTCTGTTCACTGTTGGGTCTCCAGCACCTAGATGGTTCTAGGCACACAGTGGAGGCGCAGCACTGCTGAATGAATGTGATTAAACTGGGAGGAAACAGAATTAAACATTTACCAAATCTCCACCTAAGCTCAGAAGTCTCAGAAGAAATCAAAGAGATCGATTAACCAATTTGATTAAAAATTTTAAATATCCTTGTTATTTTTCAACTTTAATTTTAATTTTTCTTGCAGAGATGGGGTCTCACTATGTTGCCCAGACGCCCGGGCTTAATCGATCCTCCTGTCTTGGCCTCCCAAATTGCTGGGATTACAGGTATGAGCCACTGTAACCAGCTCCTTGATTTTTAAAAAAGAAAAATAAAAAGACTAGGAAATTTTCACTGTATAAAAAAATTATACAGAATTGTTTTTATCACTAGACTTTTGGGTGAAAAAATTATGTTATATCCACATGAAGTATTTTCCATTAGGTGAGCCATAATGACTGTGCTTCTGGGGACGATGTGGAAAACTGTTGATGCTTCATTAAGAGTGGAATTTTAATAGGCCAACTCTATTTACAACCTGTCAACTAAAATGAAGATTCACTTTCTGAGGTGTCTGCCAGTCCTCATCCATTCACCCCTGTGTTCCTATCCACACTCCCAGGAGGAGGCCCTGGCAGCCACCTGTGTACCTTATGTCCCGCCCCTAAAGTCCCAAGTGACTGCACTAGGCACAGACCCCTAACACAAGCAGGTACTAACATTATCTCCCGCTGAAATTTAACACTGGGGTTGAGAGACTGTGGTCTCCTGAATGGAATCACTGGGCAGTCATCTGCCATTATGTATACTGGAAAACAAAACAGCTAGTCTGCTAGAAGACACGGTCAGATCACACAGTGAGAGACGGATACACACAAGGCAGCCATCTTGGTCCCTAACAGTTTTTTGGTTCCCAATTCCATCCCATCTGATGCCTAACGCCATCTCCCACTTTGGAAGATCAAGAGATGCCTGTGTACATGAGTAATATATAACTTTTCTTTTGCTTACATTCTTGAGGTACTATCTGTTACTTAAAACTTTTTAAAAATCTATGTCACTATGGAACATTAACAACTAAAACTAAAACACTAACAACTAAAAACTCAATCTTTGGACATTTGGGATACAGATGATTATACACTTTCCTAGTACTTTTGTTTTCTTCACTGCAACTATGATTTTTTAAAAATGTTCTAAAATAGGCATGAAAATAGATTAGAAGGTTGCCAAAGTAACTGTGGTTATGCTTGGTTAATCTGTGTTTTTTCTCTACTTTTACAACTTTCTATAATGCAAATGTTGCTCTTATGATTTTTCTTTTTTGGAAATGGAGTCTTGCTCTGCTGCCCAGGCTGGAGTGCAGTGGCACGATCTTGGCTCCTCACTTCAATCTCCACCTCCTGGATTCAAGCAATTCTCCTGCGTCAGCCTTCTAAGTAACTAGGATTACAGGTGCGCTCCACCACGCCCAGCTAATTTTGTTTTTAGTAAAGACAAGGTTTTACCACGTTGGCCTCAAACTCCTGACCTCAAGTGATCCACCCGCCTTGGCCTGCCAAAGTGCTGGGATTACAGGAATGAGCGAACCCACCCAGCCTTTGACTGATTTTTTTTTAAGAGGGAGTCTCACTCTGTTGCCTTGGCTGGAGTGTAATGGTGCAATCTCCACTCACTGCAACCTCCACCTCCTGGGTTCAAGTGATTCTCCTGCCTCAGCCTCCCAAGTAGCTGGGATTACAGGCGCCTGCCACCATGCCGGCTAATTTTTATATTTTAGTAGAGACAGGGTTTCATCATGTTGGTCAGGGTGGTCTCAATCTCCTGACCTCAAATGATCTACCTCCCAAAGTACTGGGATTACAGGCGTAAGCCACCACGCCTGGCCTGAATTTTTTTTTAATTATTCTTTTTCAGAAGATGCTATTCTGACTTTTGTCAAAAACAATTTAATAGCTTTAACAGGAATATTCAACTTTGGTTACTAATATAAACGGTAAAGTAAATACCTATTTGATACCAAAAATCAACTTTTCCATATTTACAAGGGAAGTTTTTTTCAGTTTAGACTGATAGAACTATCTTAATTTTTATTTCATTTGGCTGCTTCTGAATCTATATTTTGAAGGAAAAATCATTATAAAACTCCAGGCAGAAAAACTGCTCAAGTGTTTGGCAAACTGGTAGAGACTAGAAATCACACTTTAACGTCAGTTTTTGCTGTTGTAACTCTTTTAGTTTATCCTTTTCCACTAACTGCCTTCACATCTCTGTTGAAAATTGACCATACTTAAATGCATTGGTATCTGAACTCTCTCCTGCTCCAAGAGCCTGTATCTGTCTTAGGGATACAGGGAAAGGCTCTCTGGGAAAGCAGAGACTGAGCTAGCTCTTGAAGCAAGACTAGGGTTTACCAGATGGATAAGAAAGAAAAGAGCACTCTGGCAGAGAGAAAGTACAGGCAACGTGATGACAACACAGTGAACCAGAGAGCCTCTGGGACAGCTTGTTACGTGTAGAGCTGCATTGTCCAATACGGTGGACACTAATCACACGCGGCTATCCAGTACTTGAAATGTGGCTAGTCCACACTGAGATGTGCTGTAAGTGCAGAAATACACACCAGATTTCAAAGACTTGGTGCCAAAAGAGGAATGTAAGATTTCACTGATAATTATTTTTTACTGATTATATGTTGAAATGGCATTTTTGATATATCACTTTAAATAAAACATGAATAAAATTAATTTCACCTTTTTTTCATTTTTTTTAACATATCTACTAGAAACTTAAAATTACATACATGACTCCCATCATATTTCTATTAGACAGTGAGAGTCTAGAGGATAAGAGCCAGTCAGCCAGGAGATCTCCAATCAATTTTCTTTCTCCTTTCTACTCCTTTTGATGTCAATAAAGCTCAGGTCCTAGCCAGACATAGTGGCATGCATCTGTGGTCCCAGCTACTTAGGAGGCTGAGGCAAAACAGTAACTTGAGCTCAGAGTCTGAGGATGCAGTGAGCTAAGATCGCACCACTGCACTCCAGCCTGAGCAAAAGGATAAGATCCCATCTCTCAGGGCAAAATTTTTAAAAGACATTGGGCGAGGTGGCTCCCACCTGTAAGCTTAGAACTTTGGGAGGCTGAGGCAAGTGGGTCACCTGAGGTCAGGAGTTCAAGACCAGCCTGGACAACATGGTGAAACCCCATCTCTAGTGAAAATATAAAAATTAGCCAGGTATGGTGGTGCATGCCTGTAATCCTAGCTGCTCACGCAGCCGAGGCAGGAGAATCGCTTGAACCCAGGAGGCGGGGGTTGCAGTGAGCCAAGATCACACCACTGTACTCCACCCTGGGTGATAGAGTGAGACTCTGTCTCAAAAAAAAAAAAAAAAAAAGTATGTCCCGCTAGCCTTATCCATGGATATAACATACCAGTTATTTTAATTACATATAAAATATATATTAATTGAATATATAAAATTTAACGTAGGTACACTGCCTGCCTTGTGATGAAGTCTAATGATTTAGACAATAGCATATAGTTAATATTCACCTTTGCTTTCAAAAATATCTTTGTATAAAAAAAGTCTCTAAACTTCAAAACTCAAATTCACCAAGGAAAGCATCTTCTAAATCTTACTGTGGTAAGCTCATTTTTCTAGACTGTTATCCTACATAAGGGACTTAATTTGACAGCTCCTATAATGACGCCATACATTTTAAATTAAATGTATTTTTTTCCCTTAAACTCTTGTGATGGCAAAACTATTTTCCTCAAAGCTGGCTGGTTATGTGGGTCTAGAACAGTACTTACATGTAACCCGGCTCTGCCAAGCTTAAGGCACCTTTTATCCTGAGGCTTTTTGGTACTGACCATGATATCTGCTTGACGAATTTTTGTGTTATTATTAAGAAATAAATGTGTTTTGCTCCTTGAAAAAAAAGTTCAGGTCCTACTCACCTCTCACCGAAGACCATTTCGATAGCCCTACTGTATAAGTCTACCCTGCTAGGATGACCCCTGGATGTACCCTCAGATGCAGCAAACTGGGGATTTCACCTATACCTAACTTGTAATTTTCACCTTAACCTTTTCTGATAATCTTCCCTCTGCTGAGAATACCCTTCCCAAACTCCTGCTTATCAAAATCTTACTAGATAATAATGGTATTATTATTATTATTATTATTTTTTTTTTTTTGAGACGGAGTTTAGCTCTTCTTACCCAGGCTGGAGTGCAATGGCGTGATCTCCGCTCACCGTAACCTCCGCCTCCTGGGTTCAGACAATTCTCCTACCTCAGCCTCCCGAGTAGCTGGGATTACAGGCACGCACCACCATGCCCAGCTAATTTTTTGTATTTTTAGTAGAGACAGGGTTTCACCATGTTGACCAGGATGGTCTTGATCTGTTGACCTCGTGATCCACCTGCCTCGGCCTCCCAAAGTGCTGGGGTTACAGGCTTGAGCCACCGCGCCTGGCCAGTATTATTATTAACTACCATTATTATCAAGACAAAAAGGCTCAAGATAAAAAGATAATAATGGAAATGAAGGTGCAAAGTGAAGTATTTAGAGATAAAAACATTTTTTTTTTTTTGAGCCAGAATTTCACTCTTGTTGCCCAGGCCAGAGTGCAATGGCACGATCTCAGCTCACTATGACCTCCACCTCCCAGGTTCAAGCCATTCTCCTGCCTCAGCCCCCTGAGAAGCTGGGATTACATACAGGCACACGCCACCATGCCCAGCTAACTTTTGTATTTTCAGTAGAGACGGGTTTCACCGGCCAAGCTGGTCTTGAACTCCTGATCTCAGGTGATTTACCTGCCTTAGCCTCCTGAAATGTTAGGATTACAGGTGTGAGCCACGGCGCCCAGCCACTAGAAATAAAGACATTTTTAAAATCCTACTAGGACTTCAGGATCTGTATCAAGAACCTATTCCTTTATGAAACTATTTCTAACGACTCCAAATCTTCAACAAACACACAGCCCTTCCCAGGTGTTATGTGCTACGCACTGCTCTAGGAGCTGGGTAAACCAGACAATGAAGTATGAGGCCTGCCCTTAGGAGTTCAGTCTCATGGGAGACAGCAACATAAGCCAACAAATACCATGGGGTGTGATTCAGGCTCTGACGGAGGTGAACACAGGGTCCCGTGGGACCTCTGACAATTCCTAACCCAGGCTGGTAGCAGGCAGCAGTAAGCATCCTAAAAAGTGGTGTGAAAAGGCCCTGATGGCATGTTCCTCTTTTAAATACCCAAGACACCTTTAACAGCTTCTCTTCTGGTTTCTGATTCTGTCTTTCAAATTGTCACACTCATTATTTACATATTCCGCATTTGCAAATTTGCCTATTGCCAAAATTCACTGGTACCTCAAGGTCAATATTCACTGTAGTTTCTCAGTCATTCATGAACATGCCCAGAGTGGTGAAAAATGTGGATTGCCCAGTGTTCATTTTCCCAGCTGAGGTAGAAGAAGGTGATACCCGGCCTTCTTGTTTCATTCTAGAAGCTCTCCTACTATAAACAAATGTCCTTGCCACGGTCTATTTAGGGTCACGCTTTCTACCTTTTTTTGTTTTTTATTGGTGACTTCATTGTTTAAAATGACTCCAAGCAGCTGGGCACGGTGGCTCATGCCTGTAATCCCAGCATTTTGGGAGGCCAAGGCAGGCGGATCATTTGAGGTCAGGAGTTCGAGACCAGCCTGGTCAACATAGTGAAACCTTGTTTCTACTAAAAATAAAAATAAAAATTAGCCAGGTGTGGTGGTGCATGCCTATAGACCCAGTTACTCAGGAGGCTGAGGCAGGAGAATCACTTGAATCCAGGAGGAGGAGATGCAGTGAGCCAAGATCGCACCACTGTACATCATCCTGGGCGACAGAGCAAGACTCTGTCTCAAAAAAAAAAGTGGCCCCAAGCATTGTGCTGAAGAGCTGTCTAATGTACCTTAGTGCAAAAGGCTGTGATGTGCCTTAAGGAGAAAACTTTACTCAGGCATGAGCTATGATGCTGTTGGCTATGAGTTCAATGTGAATGAGTAAACAATATGTATTAAATAGGAACAGCAAAAACAAACAAGGTTGCATAATGATCAATTCATGAAAATGTCATGACCTGAGGCTTGCAGGAACCTAACCCCGTATTTTCCCCTAGGAACAATAACTCAGCCTTCCCTAATTCAGTGCTGGTGGCAACTTTATAGAACACAGCTACTGCAAATAACAAGAATCAACTGCACTTATCTTTCCTTTGAGGGTAAGATCTACCTTTGTCCTTATTTTTTCTTTTGTTTGAATGCCTTGGCTCCAAAATTAAATAGAAACCATACAGTTTAACAAAGGCTGGATACTGAAACAAAACAATCTTATGTAGTATTGACTTCATTTTATAGTTTCAAAATGGCCAATGATGGTTTTTGCCACATGCTTACCATTTTTGTTCTTCAGATTGGGGTCTGCTCCACTTCTTAAAAGCTTTAAGGCACACTGTTTATGGGCTCGGTAGGCTGCACAATGCAAGGGTGTATTTCCTAACTGATCCGAACAGTTAACATCAGGAGGATTGGGCCTGTTGAGCTAACATTTTAAAAAATGCAATGCAGAATTATATATCAAAGATAGACTTTCTCTCATAATTCACAGGAAATTGTATCAGCAGAGCCTGAAGAATAGCCAGGGGCCTTGGCATCTAGGCTGTTAGTGGTTTCTTGCTCACTAAACTAGCCAACCCTGCCACTCCCATGCTTATTCTCAGATGCCCTGAGATAGATCTCAGTCCTGTGTCCGGGTCTCACACTCCTCTGACAACAGACACTCTGCACCATGCCAGCACCATCTCACACACCCAGACATTAAGATTTCATAACAATTTACTTGCCCCTACCAGCCTTGCAATTCACACTTGTGACAGCAGAAGTCCAAATCGGTCTGCCAGTCTTTTATGAGTTAAAACCATCAATGTTAAATGTGTAAATGTCAAGGTTCTACTGAATTTGTTGTTCCCAACTTATTGCTTTAGACACTTCTTTATATAGCCTCCATTTCACAAAATTTAAAAACCGGTTTAGGCCCTATACTTAGAAACCAAAGAGGCCTTTTCAAATGAGCCAAAATAACTTTAAAGCAAATGGCAGTGCTTCAGTCATGAATTCAGAACAAATTTAGAGTTTCATGTTTAATGAGACTGTGCAGGAATGAAAACTGGAAAGTAGGTCTTCTAAGGGGGAAAAAAACAGGAAAATCTTTCAGTCTAATGTGGTATAAATGTTCCAAAATACTGTTCCTTCTTTGCATGGTACCTTCCAGAAGTGTAGCATTCCTCCCAGAAACTACTGCTGAGCAAAACTAGAAAAACTGATTCCTTTCTAGCGTCCTATTTATTATGTTTCAATTGGCTTAATTACAGATAAATGTGTGTGTGTATACACTATTTACCATTGTTCTTACACTATTTACCATGAAAAGTCAAATTCTTATCCATCAGGTTTTCAGGGGGATTGGGGCAGGTATAAATCAGAAATTCAGGGAAAAAAACCCCACCATTTAAAATGTGTCCTGCTTAAACTATCACCATGCTAAGTGTTTTTAGATATTTAAGAACTTTGGTTCTATTATTATGATCTCTGGAGTTTTGGGTTCCACAATTTAAATTATGTACTTAACATTAAGTAAAAATTTTCCTGAAGTATAAAGAAAAAATGTTTTTTGTCTTTTTGGGTTTTTGTGTTTGTTTTACCAGAGCGGTGAGTTCTGTGGTTCTGCCTTCTCTTGCTGCTGCTAAAAGTAATTCTTCAAGCTTTCTTTGTTGAGTCCTTTCTACAGCTGCAAAAGAAAAGTGCTTATTACCCTGTTGCTAGTCAGGATCTAATTACAAATTCATTATAAAGTGAAAATGATGAGAAAAATCAAAATGTTTTGGATTGTAATTCAAATTCAGTTAAAATGTATTGTTATTATCTTACCATTCAGATTACAGAGTTCCATTTACTTCAGGTTTGGATGAATTTGAGTTTTTAATTCAGAATTCTTTAAGTATTTTACTCACGATGATAACCATCAAAACTAATTATAGATTGCTTTTACATACTGAAATACTATTACATATTTGCCTTGGAAAGGTAGGTAAGTGAGGTTCATACCTTCCAGAACCTTAGAATGTGAAAAATAACAATAAGAAATAGCACTGATAGAAAGACATACATGTCATATAAATATATGCAGACACATCAATTATAAATTGCCACATAAAAATGTAAAATAAATGTATGTATGTACATATGTATGTTGAGCTAAGGACTCGCTCTATCAGCCAGGCTGGAGTGCAGTGGCATGATCATAGCTCACTGCAGCATCAAACTCCTGGGCTCACACAATTCTCCTGCCTCAGCCTCCCAAGTAGCTGGGACCACAGGTGTGCCCCCCACCACACTTTAATTTTTTTGTAGAGATGGAAGTCTTACTATGTTGCCCAGGCTGGTCTCAAACTCTTGCCCTCAAGCAATATTCCTGCACTGACTTTTCAAAGCACTGGGATTACAGGCATGAGCCACCTTGTTCAGTCTATTTTTATTTCTTTAACAAATACGTTAGCACTTACTACATGCCAAGTGCTATTTAAAGCTCCTTAAAAATATTAACTCATGGCCAGGCACGGTGACTCACGCCTGTAATCCCAGCACTTTGGGAGGCCAAAGCCGTGGATCACAAGGTCAAGAGATAGAGACCATCCTGGCCAACACAGTGAAACCCCGTCTCTACTAAAAATACAAAAATATTAGCCAGGCGTGGTGGCACGTGCCTGTGGTCCCAGCTACTCGGGAGGCTGAGGCGGAGGTTGCAGTGAGCTGAGATTGCGCCACTGCACGCCAGCCTGGAGACAGAGCAAGACTCTGTTTTAAAAAAAAAAAAAAAATTAACTCATTAATTGTTAAATTGATTTTTATAGACAAAGGAACTGAGGCACCAAGAGGTTATGGAATTTAACCAAGATCACACAACCAGAGGTGGAGGAACTGGGATGTGAACTCCAGCAGGCTAGTTCCAGAGTCCATGCTCTTATCACTACACTTCCTCTGAAGTTATACTCACAGGAAAAGAGCAACTGGAATCCAATTTGTGTAAGAGACTGGAATATGTAAGTAAGATCTAATTTCTGCTAGATCTGAATTCTATATTTTAGTTTACAGAAAGGAACTAATTTCAGAGAAAGGCTTGGTGATCCCACTACATATACATCTACAATGTCCTGTGCAAAGGCTGCAAAGGAGGAACTAAAAGGTTTTCTAGCTTATCCTGGCTAAAGTCAAGTAATGGACAGAGAAGCAGGTGGGGGAGCCAGGTGACTGGGGAAATAGTAATTACTATGTGCTAAATGCTGTTTAAGACTCTACCCATACCATTACATTTAAACTACAGCTAACACATATATTGAATCCAGGCCTTGCTGAAACTAGTTTACTTTCATCTTAAGAAATAAGTAGGCTGGCTGCAGTGGCTCACGCCTGTAATCCCAGCACTTTGGGAGGCCGAGATGGGTGGATCATGAGGTCAGGTGATCGAGACTATTCTGACAAACATGGTGAAACCGGTCTCTACTAAAAATACAAAAAATTAGGAGGGTGTGGTGGCAGGTATCTGTAGTCCCAACTACTTGAGAGGCTGAGGAGGGAGAATCACTTGAACCCAGGAGGCGGAGGATGTAGTGAGCCGAGATTGCGCCCCTGCACTCCAGCCTGGGCAACAGAGCAAGACTCCATCTCAAAAAAAAAAAAAGAAATGACTAACATTGTTATATACTATTATCTTCTTTTCTCACATTTTTATTTTCACACCCAGACTCTCTACCTCAGAAGGCGGCCAAGCCTCTCTGTAGACCGTTCATGGCTTCTGCTGCTGGGATGCACTGTCTTCAATCTTTCCTCCCGCTGGTTCTATGGCTGCTGAACTGTGACCTCTTTGAGAACAGTGACATCTCCTACACCTCTCGTACATCCCTCCACTACTGCATGTATCACCCTGACCTTTAATCTATTCCCTCCATCATTCTTGAAGTCAGGTACTTGTTTCTATCTGTCTGTGTAACCTAAGCATTTATGACAGCATCTGGCACAATGCATAGTTGGTTAATAAATATGTGTGGAATACTGAAATAATGTTTGTCCTAGATTTTAGGGAAGGAAAATAAAAGATACCCTATTGTGGCCGGGCGCAGTGGCTTCATGCCTGTGATCCCAGCACTTTAGGAGGCCAAGACAGGCGGATCATGAGGTCAGGAGTTTGAGACCAGCATGGCCAACATGGTGAAACCCCATCTCTACTAAAAACACAAAAATTAGCAGGGTGCAGTGGCAGGCACCTGTAATCCAGCTACTTGGGAGGCTGAGGCAGGAGAATCACTTGAATCCGGGAGGTGGAGATTGCAGTAAGCTGAGATAGCACAACTGCACTCCAGCCTGGTGACAGAACAAGACTCCGTCTCAAAAAAAAAGATACCCTACTGTTGCTTTCCAGGTTGTCTAGGCTCATAAATGAAGTAAAATGGCAGGAATTTGCAGTTGAAAATACTATACATGTTCTTACATTATGTTCCTGTCCAGTATTCTTTCAGGACACTGAAATAAAACTACTAATCACATCAATGAAAAGCAAATATTCTAGTCTGGGGTGGTGAGGCTTCTAGAATGCTGATAATGTTCTGTTTCTTGATGTGGATGCTGTTTACAGAGACGTGTTCTACAGAAATAGTTCTACAGGGAGCTATACGTTCATGATGTGAACTTTTCTGCATATACTTTGTATCTCAATAAATATTCTTAAAGCAAATACCACCAATCCAAAAAATATCTGTCCTATAAGAGTTAAATTTAGTATCACTCTAACTAACTTTCCATCAGAATCAAGTTAGTGAGGATCTTAGAGGTCACAAAGTCTACCTCAGTCCTGACTGATGCTTACATACATGCAGAGAATAGGCTGAATAGTAGTACACTTGAAATGCAGGCAAGCACCTGGAAAATACATTTCATTAATGATAGCAAATCTTTACTTTGCAACCACTATAGTAATCAATGATTAGGGCAAATATTATCAATGAATGCTAAAACCCCTGAGTAGAAGTGTATTGGTAAATAGGGTATTTACATCGTCTCAATTTTTCTCCCTGCAGGTCATTTATTAATTACAAAGGGGAGGTGCCTTTACAGTGGACCACAAAGTGATCAGAGTTAACATCACTAGTAATGAAACAAAGTGACATTATGTGCCTCCCAAGATGATGCGCTGGCATGAGATATAAACTCCCCTACATAATATTCCTGACAGAAACACATATCCTGAATCAATTCATATGAAAAGAGAAAACCCAAAATCAAGGGACATTCTATAAATAATTCCACAACCGATCTCCTCTTCAAAAAGGTCAGTATTGGCCAGGTGCCAAGGCTCATGCCTATAACCCCAAAACTCTGGGAAGGCAAATTAAGAGAACTGCTTGAGGCCAGGAGTTCCAGACCAGCCTGGGCAATATAGTGAGGCCTCATCTCTATAAAAATTAAAATAAAATAAGCCAGGCATGGTGGTACATGCCTATCGTCCCAACTACTTGGGAGGCTGAGGCAGGAAGCTTGCTTGAGCCCATGAATTCAAGGCTTCAGTGAGATATGATCACACCCCTGCACTCCAACCTGGGTGACAGAGTGAAACTCTGTATCAAAAAAAAAAAAGTCAGTATCATAAAAAAGGTTGAGAAATTATTTTAGATAAAAGGAAACAAAGGACATGATGTCACAATTAAATGCAATGTGGGATTCTGGATTAGATCCTAGATTGTAGGGGGAAATGGTACAAAGGACATTATTTAGACAACTGGCTAAATTTGTATATAAAAATATATATCATATATTATTTTAATGCTAATTTTCCTGAAATTGAGCACTATAGTGTGATTATGTAAGAAAATAATCCTTTTTTAAGAGATACTGAAATATTTAGGGGTAAAGTATCATTATGTTTGCAAATTACTCTCAAATAGTTCAACAAAAAAAGTTAAATAAAACTAAATAAATAACATCAAATACATAACAGTCTAAACCAGATGTGGTAAAATGTTAATAATTGGTGAATTTGAGTGAAGGACATACAAACGTTTACTATAGTACTCTTGAAACTTTCCCATAGGATAGACATTTTTCAAAGTAAAAAGACAAATAAGATAAAGAAGAAGACAGCATTAGTAACAGTACCTGAAAATAGTCTATCCTTTGCTGAATACCTCAATCACGTACCTTTCAAGGCAATCCAAGTCATTATTCCTAATGTTGGACCCAAAGATAAACCCCCTGCTACTCCATCAACTGGGCAATCGACCAGCCCTGGTTTGGCCACAAATTAGATTATCCGTCCTCCCAAGTAGCAGCTCTCAGGTACTTGAATATAATTTCATTGTGCCTGCCTATGTCTTTCTTTCAAGAGTAAATCATTTCCTGTCTCTCCAGGCATTATCCTATGACATGGTTTCTTATTTGTTTGTTTATTGTTTTTTTGAGATGGAGTCTGTATTGCCCAGCCTAGAGTTCAGTGGCGCAATCTCGGCTCACTGCAACCTCCGCCTCCCAGGTTCAAGCCATTCTCTTGCCTCAGCCTCCCAGGTAGCTGGGATTACAGGCTTGCACCATAAGGCCCAGCTAATTTTTATATTTTTAGTAGAGACAGGGTTTCACCATGTTGGTCAGGCTGTTCTCAAACTTCTGACCTCAAGTGATACATCCACCTCGGCTTCCCAAAGTGCTGGGATCACAGGCATGAGCCACTTTGCCCAGCCCCTTGACGTGGTTTCTGATCTATTTATGGTCTTATGGTCTACTTACGGTGGGTTGCTCAAGGTACTTCCTGTAGTCTGTCAATGAGCCATTTAACACTCTATCCACAAACGATATATGTGGGTAAGGTGCTCTCATTAGAGCAGAATCACTTAATTACGTCTCTACTTCTATTTCCCAGGCTAAGACCACATCAACTGACAAATCATATTACCTGTAAAGTCAACTAAGCCCTCTTCCTTGTGCAGTTTGGGTTTTGAAATATCTTAGAGCATGTCTTTACAACTGCCCTTATTAAATGTCAACTTGTCAGGCTAACCTAACATTCCAGTCTGTCAGGAAAACCTCAGTTCTGGGTTCTCTTCTTGTTATAATTAGAATGACAGGACCTAATCAAAGACAGTACCTCACCCTCCCTGTTAGGTCACAAATAATTAAAGGGCAGGAACCACAGCTAATATGTGTTCCTAAATTCATGTAACACAGTGCCTGACAGAAGATGTTATCTGTTAATTTGCTTGTTCATTGACAAGGAGAGGGTTCATTATGAATGCAAAAACAAGCTAAGACACTGACCTTAAAAGTCTGACAAGTAGACATGGTGGGTTTATTTTATTTATTTATTTATTTATTTAAATTACAATTATTTAATCAGAAAAAAAACCTCTTAAGCAAACAAGGTAAAAATAGCTAATATTCTACAGAGTAATTGAAATTCACCCTGTGGTACTCTCCATTTTCTTTCTTTTCTATTTTTTAATTGCATTTTAGGTTTTGGGGTACATGTGAAGAACATGGAAGATTGTTGCATAGGTACACACATGCAGTGTGATGTGCTGCCTTCCTCCCCATCACCTATATCTGGCATTTCTCCCCATGCTATCTCTCCCCAACTCCCCACCCCCACCGCTGTCCTAACTACATAACGAGTGAGAAGATTTTAGCTCTGAAAACTAATTGAGGGTGATAAACAGCAGGATCTTGGTTTTTACATAGATAAAAATATGGGAAAATTTAAATGAAGAAATCAGCATCCTTTAAATACAAAATTATATTGGCTTTCTCCAAATTCTAAAGGGAAGAAATAAAGGGTATGTGTGAAATTGCAACTCTAATTCAATATCATTACTCATTTAGCAGAAAATTAAAGATCTCTTCTCAACATTAGAAAAACTACTAAAAAATAATTATAGCGAAGCCCTGGCCATTCAAAGAAAGATCCTTTTATATGAGAGTCTCTAAATTCAGGGTCTTTCCTCACCCAGGCTGTAGTGCAGTGGCCCTTTGAGGCTTACGGCAGCCTCAAACTCCTGGGTTCAAATGATCCTCTGTCTCCCAGTGGACTTTGTAGACAGCCTGATATGGAGTCTCAAGAAGATTAAAAAATGTCTCTAATTTCAATAAATGGCTGCAATCCAAAAAAAAAAAGTCTCCAAATTTAAGTACCAAACGTTTTCGTTCTAAATTACTTTAGAGAAAGTCTGAATGATTGCAGACTCATGGTTTCTTAAATGTAAATTCCTCTTTGACATTCACAACAATGAAGCTCAGCCATCAAGAAATTACTGCCGCCTGCTATACTGCAATGAAGTCCTCGAGAAAGCTGAGAAGGCCAGACACAGTGGCTCACACCTGTAATCCTAGCACTTTGGGAGGCCAAGATGGGGGATCACTTGAGGCCAAAAGTTCAAGACCAGCCTGGGCAACATAGTGAGACCCCCATCTCTCAAAAAAAATTTTAAAAAAAGAGCCAGGTACAGTGGCTCTCGCCTGTAATCCCCGCACTTTGGAAGGCCAAAGTGGGTGGATCACTTGAGGTCAGGAGTTCAAGCCAGCCTGACCAACATGGTGAAATGTCGTCTCTACTAAAAATACAAAAAAAATTAGCAGGGCATGGTGGTGTGCGCCTGTAATCCCAGACTCAGGAGGCTGAGGCAGGAAAATAGCTTAAACCCAGGAGGCAGAGGCTACAGTGAGCCAAGATCATGCCACTGCACTGCAGCCTAGGTGAAAAGAAAACTGAGCCAGCCAGAGCTATCTTCCCCAACATCAAGCAACTCTCAAAAGCAATACCTCTTACAGCTTGCACTGACACCTCTTACTGTCCGTCACTTCTGTATTCCTTGTTACAGTTCATCAGCCTATTAGCCATATTCCCTTATGTATTTACTTTTCTACTTTTAGTTTTGTTGAGTATTTGAAAAACAAGTATTTTTTGAGACCCAAAAAAACAGACTGGCGGTGGGGGTGGGGGGTGTCTCACTCTGTTGCCTGGACCGGAGTACAGTAGCACAATCAGGGCTCACTGCAGCCTCAAACTCCTA